GACGGTAGTGCTAAGCAAACAGTTAAATTTTAAAAGCGCGGTTATAAGATCTAAAAGATCTTCTTGTTACGTAACATAGTCGTGACGGGTTGTCACACAACAGCTCACCACTTGTGATAATCACATGATCCGAGAAGAGGCGGAAAACAAGAAGCTTCAAGTAGTCGGAGAGATCGACAACTTCCATGATGCTTCGTGTATTTCTTGTTCTTTTTCTTGTTGCCCTCGCGTCTTCTTCTTTCCACAGAGTCCCAAAACTTTCTGATCCTTTAGGTCTTGGACTTGGATGGGAATTACATGAACTTCAGGTGGAAGACTATGTGAAAGGTTCTGTGTGGCCGAAACCGCAACTAGAGTCACAAACTGGCGCCGTGTTCAAGTTGACACCGCAGAATTTCAAATTTGTTATAACTGGTCCGAGCTGCGATGTACTCGAGGAAGCCATTCAACGGTACAAACGATTAACTTTTCCAGACAACGTGGGCGAGTCGAAGAAAAACTTGTCGGAAATCACACAGCTCTCCATAATAGTGATAGACAAATACGAGAAACTTACGCTGGAGTCAGATGAGTCTTGTAAGTAAGCTTATAAAGTTTCTTTCTGTCAATCTCGACTATATTTGAATGCCAGGCAAATGATGCTTTCTTTGCTAATTTTCGTTGCTAATTTTCTAGCTCCAAATCAAGCTTGGCGTATTTGCAAGGTTTATGGCTGGTTTACACACAAGACTTGTCCTTGCCTATAATGCACTCATTGTTAAATGGCGACAAATTAAAATGAATTTGCAAATTAAATTAAAATGTCACAAGTCACCACAGTTCTTCAAGCTTAAGCTTACTTTAATAATTTTAGTTCAATTTTATAGTTTTTAAGGCGTTTTATCTTCTGAATTTAGAATCTTTTAAAAGTTGTATCTAAACCAGCTGGTTTGTCGTCGCCATGGATAAATCATATATAGTTTATAGAACCCTCACGTTTTCGGATTTATCTTATTGTAATTTTTATCCTCGGTTTCAGTGTTTAATTTGCGTGTATTTATTTGTGTGATCTCTCCTTTGAATTCGCGTCCTTGAGCGATCCAGATTTTAGAGACTAATAATTTTGTGGTTGTATATACTTCAGCAGGTGTAAAACCTGTTAAATTGTTTTACCTGTATTTTTCATAAATATTGCATTTAGGTTATGTGATCTCTATCAATCATGGATAATTTCCAATTGAGTTTGCAATTGCAAGCACTGAAGTCAATAACTAATGGGCAGGTTTACAATATAAATCAATTAAAGTTATGGTTCTGTCAATAGCTCTTATTGAAGTTATCAGCGGTTTGACATACAAATGAAGCAAAAGGGTCAATTTTGCTTTGTATTGACCTGTTCACCTTGTCTGTATGCCTTTTAAACAAAGGAATATTTGACCACAGGTTCAACTGCAATAAGAGCTATTTCAGGTCTACTCACCCCCCCCCCCCACCCCTTCCTACTGGGTATTTGATGTAATATATCAAGCATGAGAGATGGTAGGGGTGGATCCAGGATTTCTCTTGGGAGGGGGTGCATCACTTAGGAATGGCAAGACTGGCTGGTGGGATAAACGAATTTTACAAGTGAATACAAAGAAGAAGGCTTCATCTCAGGGGGGTGTACCCCCTGCACCCCGCCTGCCCAAGATCCGCCTTTGGACAGTGTTTCATCACCAAGAAGAGAGTTGAAAATATGGCACGCAGCAGAGTAATTTTGACAAAATTTGAGGTGTTTGGATAGCCGATGAAACACTGTCTCCGGTCGAAACAAACACTAAGGAATAGAAGGGAGAGGTAAAATGGTCAAAATCTATGCTAATCAAGACCGGGTATCCAACCCTATTTCACGGTTGCGATTTTTGTTTTATCTTGATGAATTTTTAATGAGTTTGAGAGGGTCATTTGATAGGTTGTAGGACCCCCCATGCGAAAGGCTGCCTGGGGTTGGGGGATTTGTCAATTTAGTCAAAAATAAAGAATTTACAATAGTCAAAGTCACAACAGTCATGATGTTCTACAGTTGTGTTCAGTTGGGAAAGATTATTGTGGAGAGCCACCAAGTTGTATTTTTGGATGACTTTTTTAAGGGTACGAGAATCGGGTTGGTACATTTCGCTGACCCCTAGTCCATGGACTACCCCGATGGACCTGGTCCATGGACTACT